TTCCTGTGCTCCCGTGGGATGCTCCATCCACCCCACCATCTCAGTGTTCATGAGCTGTGCCTGGTACCTCGAGGTCCATAGAAGAAACATATAAAGCTGTGTCTGTGGCTGAATCAGAATTGAATCTTCAGATTTGGCCGAATCAAATCAGAACAGTGATCCGAATCAGTGAATCGAATCATTGCCCCCCAAATCAGGCCAAATCCAAATCGAATACTGCCTGCTTTGCACACCCGTTCTATTTACAGAGTTCCAAATTACCATATCAAGAATCTATACTGATATTCTAGTGTCCATTGGAACTGTTGGATTTTCATGAATTGTACTTCTAAATTTTTTTACCTTAACACAGAATGCTTTTTCTAGAAATGATCTGCACAAGAATATATATATCAGGGGATCCATGCAAATATTTGTACTAGCTAGCCAAAGAGTACCTTCTTTGGCAATGAATAATTGATTCTGTATACTACAGTCCATTCTCTGGTGGGTTTGACTTAGAGTGTATGGTACTCTAGAAAAATGATATGGAGCAAAACATACAAAAAAAACTATGACAATGATGAATACTTTCCCTTTGGTCCTTTGTTTGCTTTTGCTATCTTTCTTTTGAGTTTTTTTATAAGACAAGTATACCTTTTTGGTAATAACTGCATAAAAGAGAAACATTAGAATTAATACAGCCCAGAAAACAAACTGACAAATATAAGTGACAGCTTCATGCCATTTCAGTCCTAAGTGATTCTTCAGAGAAGCACACTTCTTCACAGAGTGGGGCATGGCTTTTTTGTTTGATAAAATCATGTTTGGCAAAGAGAGACTGAAGAAAGAAATCCAAACAATCCCTGCAATAATTTTTGCAGATGTGACATTTTGCACCCAAAGCTTCCCATAAGGTCGTGCAATTTTGAGAAACCTGTCAAAAGCAATAAGACCAAGTAGTACTATACTGACATACATTGCTTCATAAAATATCACAGCTGAAACACGACAAACAAAAGCTTTAAGTTGCCATGGTCCGAGTCCTGAATCAGTAAGAATTTTCAGAGGAAGCATTAAAGTCATTATAGAATCAGAAACCAGTGTGTTTTTGAGGTAGACTATGAAAGTTGATGTGCTTCGAATTTGGAAGAAAGCCCAAGCAGCCAAACTATTCAGTATCAGTCCAATAAGGAAAACAACAGTGTAGAGGACTGGGAACACCACATGTGCAATTCTGGTGTCTCTATGGCAGATCAATGATGTTCCATTGGAGAAGCTGACAATACTCCCATTCATTTTGACAGAAACTGGGGAATGAAATTATAAAACATACATGATAAGATATACACAAAATGACATGCTGTTTACCTAGACATACTGCTTTCTAAAATCTTTTGAGAAACATGCACTAAATAGTTCTCTTGGGCAAACACGCTCTAATTATATTGTATGCAAACCCTGTTCCCTATGTAAACATCAAATAAGAAGTTTCAGTGGGGGTTATTTTTTCCTAATGAAAAGTTAGAAATGGCATCTAAAGCCCATAAAGCATGTTAATAGAGGGCTCTGTTATTATACATTACAACCTCATTACAACAAACTCTGTTGTTTACAAACTTCTGTTTTTAAAATCCCAAAGTTAGGAACCATTTTTCCCCATTATTAGGGTGTAGCAAATTGTAGCAGGCAGCCTGTTTTAATTAAATAAATTTAAAATAAATTTAAAATAAATTTATCCTGCCTGTCCCAGGCAGGCTTGTTACAATGAGGTTAGACTATACAAAGGTAATAGGGCACAGCAGAATGACTTAAGGGAACGTCTTGTCTTCACATAAAACATTACAAAACAAAATCCTGATGAGCTGAACTATCAGAGGTATGACATAAAATAAGCAATCTTTTGAGAGAGAATCTATGCTGTGAATTAACCTTGAAGTTAATAATAATGAGACTTTAGGGTTTTGAACCTTAGCAAACAAGCCATACTTCATTTCTCAGCAAAATTCTAAACCAGTTCTTTGTATAAAGGACATAAACTAAGAATTATTCATATAATTTGCATGTTACAGTTTACATATTAAGTAAGTCTGCTTGACTTGAGCATCACATGTATGCAAACAGCTTGGTATGAATACCTGTATAAAGGTTATAAGAAAAGAAATTCACCTGTTTTGAAGGAAATGATTGCAGTTTTTGTGTCGACTGAAGCCTTCAGTAGTTCATTAAGAATGGGGTAATATATCTTCAGATGGGAACTGTTTTGTTTTGGTTTTTTTCCCTAGGTTTCCTTCTGCTTTGTGATGTGTTGAATTATTAACCCATTCTGTGTGCTAAGGTACATATTTGTTTTCATTCTGTAATCACAGACGAGTCTAAAACTTGCGTACAAGAGGCTTTTCCGATCTTCTGTTAATCTTAGAAGACAAAGTTTCCATGATAAAACCTGTGCAGAACTATTTTTTACCTCGGACGACAACTAAGACAACTATTACCAATTCCTGTCAGTAAGAAGATCCTTGACAGGGTGGATAATACAATAGGCAGTTATTATGTTTCTAGGTAGAAAAGTTCAGATCTGGATATTGACTTTACCTCCAATTACTGCCAGTTTGTGTTATCTTCTTTGAAATATAGTGGTACTGGAAATAATAACAACTTAATCACATACACCTACTTCCTAAAAGGTCTGCTTCCATTGTTCTGCTCTATAGATATACAGCTGCAATTATGTTTTGGTCTGGTGCAGAGGGGCCATAAAGCTGTGGACCATCATGGTTTTGTAGGCGCTGTATATATGTTTGAGTGTGTGTAAGTCAGGCCACAGCAAGATTTTATGGGCTTTCTTATGCATTCCTCTGTGTCACAGAGGGTTACTGTGTATAAGCTTTGTGTATCTGTGCATCTGCTCATGTTTATAATAGAGATGTGTGGGCTTTTTATTAGTGAGTGCATTACCTAAAATCCCCACTTGTTTTTCGTGTCTTTGTCCTTCCACTTGGCCTTGATGAGAGCTAATTTTTGTTACATATATGTGTTTGACTGTTAGTGAAAACAGCAAAGTAGCCAAACCTGACCTTTCTCTATGTGCGTTGCAGCTATGATGCCTTATGCCATTTTAGGTTGAGTTTCTTTTGTATTTTATACTCTTTACATCTCTTGCAATGTAAGCTGTTTTCTAATATGTTAAGCAGACCACTCCAAATTGGTAAGTGTTGTAAATTTCTGGGAGGAAAGGGGGAGGGAAGGGGCACTTTCAACATAGTGCACCTTTAAGTGAAATTTTTGCTGCTTATTACATTGTCCGTGGCTGTTATGGGTTCCTGCAATTGCTTCTTCAGTCACAGGAAATCCTGTTTCTTGTCCTCTCTTAAGGAAGCAAAAAGAACCACAGATTTTCTCAGTTGCAAAATCCGAGTTGTGCAACATTTGCGAATCACATCATACATGTGTATGAAGTGAGTAATTGCTGAGAATAGACCAGGGAACTGGAAGCAAGAATCACCCTTCTAACATTTCAGTGGCAAGTTAAGGGTTAAAATCTTCTGGAGAATCACTCAAATTGGAGCTTTTCCTCATGAGAAGTCTTTACTACCAAATATACATGTAAGGCTTAAGCAAACCTAAATCAAATTGTGAAACTATACTTTCATTTGGATTATTGTTTGTTTTTTTTCATTTGGATATGTTGTTGATGCTGCATGCACGTGCCCCTGGACTTCCTCTTCTGCGTCACCCATGACAAAGTTCAAGGCTGAGTAGAGCCTCGTGATGCATGCATGCTGACTGCTGGTCTTACTTTTCATAAGAGTACTGCTTGCTCAGTAGGGTGCCATGAGTGACCCGATTACAACCTTTATTTTCACCACTGTGGGCAGTCCTTATCTGAAATTGTTTGTATATTTGATACAGTGGATGAATTTCCCTTTTCCTAACCCTGTTTTGCCCATAAA